CGTGCCTCTTTCCTTAAAGATTGGGAGTTTAAGGCAAAAACCTTTATAATGAAATAACCAACTGTAAATAGAAGACTGAAAGATGTCAGTCTGAAAATGACTAAATTATGCCAACAGCAAAGTCAATATAATTGCAATGATTTCTCATTTCTTACTGCCAGCCAGTCCACGGCCACACATCCTTTAAGACGGCGCAGAACTGCCCCTGTGAGTTTCTGAGACGAGCTCTTTACAGGGAAAAAAAGCCCTATCTTTCTCCCAGGAGTGGCTGGTGGCTTCAAACTGCTGACCTTGCAGTTAGCAGCACAATGTGTAGCCACCACACCACCAGGGATCCCAATGACTACATTAGCTCTTTAAAATTTGCCACCAAGCTTCCTTAAAGGCCAGGGAACATTTATTTTGTTTTCTTCTCCTATAGAGGAACAAGTATGTCTACTGTTTCAGAACAAACAGGCTTTATTTATTACCAGTGGATTCCAAAAGACACTTCTCATATGGGAGTTCAACAAGTATATATAATGATATCACTCAGTAAAAGACTATGCTAATTTCTATTCTCTAAGGTAATGTTGAGTGATGAGGTTTTTTTTTGGTTTTTTTTTGAGGCTTGAACAGGGTCTTTATTAAAGAAGACATACAAATGGTAAAAAAAAAAAACACCAAAAAAACTACAAACATATGAAAAGGGATTGAATGCCATTAATTAGTAAGAAAATGGAAATGAAACACCCAATGAAACTAGACAAATGGATACGTGATAAACCACACGTAGTAAAATGTAAATAGTAGCATCTAGGTGGATGGGCATAAGGATGGTCACCATACAAATCTCTCAACTTTTCTGTAGGGTTGAAGTGTTTCCTAGTAAAATGTTGGAAGGATACTACAATAAGGAACTGCTAGGTACCCACTAGGATAGCAAACATTAAAAAGATCAATCAAACCAGATAATGAATGCTCATACATGTATGGTAGGATTATGAACAAGTGAGCACAACAAATTCAGAAAACCAGTCAAATGTGCCTACAAATTTTAAACATTTTCTTCCTTTATAACCCACTTCTATGTGTCCCTCCAATGATATGTGTACATAAAGGCAAAAAAAGTGACCAAGAATACCAATAGCGGCTGTATTTTTTT